ACCTTTTGAAGAGTTCAGGCCAAGTGCTTTGCAAAATCTCCCATATACTAGATTTGTCTGATTGTTTCTTATGGTATCATTTAATTTGTCCCTTATTCCTTCTAAATTCTGTGAAGTGGAAGTTAGGTTTACAAATTTGATTAGATTCAGATTAAAACGTAAGTGATAATGCCTACTTCATGCAATTGGACAGAATTTGTTTTTCTGCTTATTAGTGGTCCTAAATTAATTTGAATATTGACCACCAGATTGTACCATTGAAAGGTACATTTTCTTCTTTGCTGTAATTAATTGTCACACCTTAGGAATATCTAATTCACTAACCTTTTACCTGATGGTTTTAGTATCCATTGATGATCCTTGCCTGAATTCGTTATTACATTGGGGGTCCTAAAATGGTGATTTAAAATTTGACCATTCTTCTAAGTAATTAGCTTGTTTTCTTCTGTAAAGAAGGACTTTTTTTTTTTTTTTTTTTTTTTTTTTTGAGATGGAGTTTTGCTCTTATTGCCCAGGCTGCAGTGCAGTGGCTCGATCTCAGCTCACTGAAACCTCCATTTCCCGGGTTCAAGCAATTCCCCTGCCTCACCCTCCCAAGTAACTGGGATTGCAAGCGTCCACCACCATACCCGTCTAATTTTTTTTATTTGTAGTAAAGATGGGGTTTCGCCATGTTGGGCAGGTTGGTCTCGAACTCCTTACTTCAGGTGATCCGCCTGTCTCGAGCTACCAAAGTGCTGGGATCACAGGCCTGACTTCACTTTATCCATCCTTTCTTCTCCTTTTGAAGCGTTACCATGAAATGGTGGATTTTTATTTATTCAATATTCTATTAATTAGTGATATTTCAGTGCTCAAAATTTCCCAAATGTGGTTAGTAGGCATCCCCCTTCAGGCTATCTCCTAGTCTTTTTTTTTTTTTTTTGGAGACAGAGTTTCTTGTCACCCAGGCTAGAGTGCAATGGTGCAACTTCGACTCACTGCAACCTCCGCCTCCCAGGTTCAAGTGGTTCTCCTGCCTCAGCCTACCGAGTAGCTAGGATTACAGGTGCCTGCCACCATGCTCTGCTAATTTTTTATTTTTATTTTTTGAGATGGAGTCTTACTCTGTTGCCAGGCTGGAGTGCACTGGTGCAATCTCTGATCACTGCAGCCTCCTCTTCCTAGGTTCAAGCGATTCTCCTGCCTCAGCCTCCCAAGTATCTGGGACTACAGGCACACACCACCACGCCCAGCTAATTTTTGTATTTTTAGTAGAGATGGGGTTTCACCATATAGGCCAGGATGGCCTCCGTCTGTTGACTTCATGATCCTCCTGCCTCGGCCTCTCACAGTGTTGGGATTACAGTCGTGAGCCACTGCACCTGGCTGCTATCTTCTATTGTTGTGACAAGCCCCCGTCTATTTGTCTTTTAACACTTTCTTGCATTTTACAGCACAAGTGTTTCAAGTTTTCTCTACCCCAAAATGGGGTTCAGCCATTTTTCTAAGGAGTCTTGGCTCCAGAAAAGGAGAATCTTTTTTTTAAATTTAATGATTCACCTTTTTTGTCTTTTCACAGAGGCCTCTCTACATTAAGTTCTGTATTAGATCAAGATTATTTAAGTACCAGTCTAAGCAACCCAGATGTCAGAGACAAGGGTGCGGTGGAGTGGTGGCATTGGACTCTGCTAGGCGAGGGGAATTATTTCAGCCTAAATGATGTTTCATTACTTTGGCAGCTCCCTAGTAGTATATCCTATCTCTGGCCCTTCCGCTCTCCACCTATGATTTTTCTCTCATACAATTTTTATTCTTTTACTCATCCCCTTATTCATTCTGCTCTTTACTTTTACTTATCTAATGAATTTTAGTGTTAAGATTTTAAGCTTTACAAAATGATTATTTTCCACAGCCATTTCAGCTAATTAATTTGATGCTTAGGTTTTGATGTAATCTCGCTTAATACTAATTTATATTTATTTGTGTTATCTAATAAAGACTTATTTCTTTGAAGAGGTTGCAGTGACAGCTGTTTCTTCCACTTCTTAAACAGTGGTTAGGCAGACTACAGCATTTTAAATTCATGTCATAATTTGGTCTACACTTTCCCTTAAGTTTGGTTTTTAACATCTATTTCATTTTTTTCTGTCATTTGGTCAGGATTAAGTTAAATATATCTTCTCTTTCATTGTATCCCCAAAATCATTGAGAAGGGCATTTTATCTGCATTTTCCTAACATAAATCTTTCTTTCTCTCCAGATGGAGAGTTGAAGTCTCATTGTGCTAGGGAGAAGGAAAGGGGAGGGCATTTTGAAATCTGCTATATCAAAAAAGACATTAAAAATTGATAAAGGTAGGCCTACCTGTTTTTATATTCTGCCACATAGCATGTGTTTAAATGAATTTGCCTATAATTTGTTTCAAACACTGACATTTTACTCCTAAGCTATATAATTGTGCTTGATTTTTCCAGAGTAAAATTCATATTCTGTGACCTAATATGTTCACCTACTATAAAAATTACTGCCTATGGTAACAGCGAGAATAAAAATTTCTTTTTATATACATAATAGCCGGCAGAGACTCCTGGGACCACCACAAATCATTCTCTTCTTTTGGAGCTTGCTTCCTATGGAAATGTAAAACCAGACTAGTCTAATGTAGGTTGACTCTGAAAACCTATTTAGACCATCATTTACGCTATTGTTGTTATTTAAGATGCTAAGAATTCAACAGGCTCTTCTAATTAATGTATTCCCTAAGCTTAGTAACCTGTCCTTTCCCTGTGAACTAGCTCCTCTTCTATCATCTACCTCTGGCTCCTTTTTTGTTAAAGGTTAATAATGAGAATAATGAAGCAATTGGTTATTTATGCAGTCATGATTGGCAAAAGTTATTAGAGCAAGAATCTGCCCAGAAGCAATGATTAGGTTATGAAAATGTTAAGGAATACTGAATCCAGACACCATTTTTGACATTTGAGAAATAATATTTCAGCCCTTAATCATGATGACCGGTAGTAAAAGTATTTATACAGAATAAATCCCATTGGATAGTAATTCTTATACCAACAGCATACATAAGTGTTAAGGGGAGATATGAAAATGATCTGAAGGGAAAAAGATCCTGGGGAGGAAATTAGTACAGTGAGAAGTAAGGAACAGAACTCTCTCTTGGGTAGAACTATTTGTCTCCCAGGCACCTGGTCTACAAAGTTAGCTGACCTTTTCCAATTCAGTATTTTCATCTTGAACACTTGGCGAGTTTTAGGAGGTGTGAGAGAAGGTACCCCAGGTTAAATTGCTGTTATTTATATCAAACTATAAAAAATACAGGGAGGTACGCAGGCAGAAAATTTCCTGGTGATGTTTTGATTAATGAAATATTGACTTAACTGAAAACTTAACAAAAAAAATCAAATTCTAGTATCTTTATGTTTAATACAGTTAGGAACTTTCTGTGCAAATTGGCAGTACTCTTGCCAGAACAGTGTTATTTCTACCCCACACTGATTTAAAATAGCTTTAATGTATATAATTCACATAAAATTCACCCATTTAAACTATATAATTAAATGGTTTTGAGTATGTTCCCAAAATATGCGAACACCACTACTTTGTAATTCCTGCACACGTTTATTACCTTTCCCCCAAAATTCATACCTGTTTGCAGTTACTCTCCATTTCTTCTACCCTAACCCTAGCGACCACTGATCTATTTCTGTCTGTATAGATTTGCCTGTTCTGAACATTTTATACAAATGAAATCAAAGACTATGTGGCCTTTTGTGTCTGGCTACTTTTACTTAGCATGTTTTTAAGGTTCATCCATGTTGCAGCGTGCAGCAGTACTTCATTCCTTCTGAGGGCTGAATAATATTCATTTATAAATATTCCACATTTTGTTTATTCATTTATCAGTGGACACTGAGATTATTTTCCTTTTCTACTATTAGGAATAATGCCATATTGAATATGTACATACAAGGTTTTGTGTGGACATATGTTTTTTAAAAAGTTTTCTTTGCTTATATATTTAAGAGTCTTCAGGATACACTTTCAGTTCTCTTGAGTATATAACTATGAGTAGAATTGCTGGGTCATATGGTAAAAAAATTCTCTAACATTTTGAAATAGCTAACTTATTTCCTAAAGTGGTAGCACAGTCTTATGTTCCCATTAGTTGTGTAGGAGGGTTCCAGTTTCTCCATATCCTTGTGAATACTTGTTAGTCTTTTTGGTTATGGTCATCTTAGTGGATGCAAAGTGGTATCTCAGTGTGTTTCTGATTTGCATTTCCCTAATGGCTGTGCTGAGTATCTCTCCCTATACTTCTTGGCTATTTACACAGTTTGTTTTGGGAAATGTCTATTCAAAGCCTTTCCCCATTTTTAAATTGGAGTAATTGTCTTTTTATTGTTTAGCTGGACAAGGTCTTTATATATTCTGGACACAAATTCTTTACCATATTGTTTCCAAGTATTTTCTCTCATTCAGGAGGTTGTGTTTTTTTTCCATTTTTAAATAATGTCCTTTGAAGCACAATCATTTTACATTTTGAAGTCCAATTTGTCTGTTTTTATTTGGTTACTTGTATTTTTACCTAATCCAAGGTTATAAAGATGTACTTTTATATTTTATGCTAAGAGTTTTATATAAGTTTTGACTTTTACATTGAGATTGATGTATTTTCAGCTTTTTTTTTTAATATGGTGTGAGGTAGGGGTTCCTTTACATGTATTTGCATTTCTTTTTGTTTATTCAAATTTAAAGAATCGAGGAATAAATCTCTTTTCAAATGGGATGTTCATTGCTACTCTCTTTGTGAAGTATTGTTTTATGATTTTGGGGGAGGAACACATGTAACTTTTATCTGAAGACTTTATACTTATGACTCTCTCACCCAATATCATTGCATTTCTGGCTCTGTTTTGTTTATTGGAATATGAAAAGCAGCACTGATGGATGCAGTTTGAATCAATTTTTCAGTTTTTTTTTTCCTTAATTTGCAATCTCACCTCTTCAGCTACAGTACAGAGAATGCCAAGAACTTTTAAGCCTCTATCAGAAATATTTATCAGAACAACAAGAGAAGCTTACCATGTCTGTCTCAGAACTTGGTGCTCCTAGAATGCAGGAACAGCAGGTAAGCATCTTTATTTTTACCTTTCTTGTTTTCAGTGGATCAGCAATATGTCAGAAGAACTGTTTGCTTTTTATGTTAATTTTCTCACACTATATAACATTGTTTTAAAACATGTAGCTACTCCATGTGATTGAGTTGATGTCTTTCCCCCCTCCTTTCCTTTCTCCTCCTGTTCCTGGGCCCAGAGATAAGGAATGATTACTTGAAGCAGTCTCTGTGGGTCTGTGGGGAAGCTCCTGGTTGTATGAAAGCACAGCCAGAATGATAAAGAAAACACTGCTCTGTTACTTAATGAAGAAGATCAGGTGGGCTGTTTGTTACTCATTGTCCTTATGAAAAACACGAATAAGCCTTTCTTAATTCATGTTTATTTTGTTACTTGGGGACTTATAAAAACTTTAATTGGAGAATATTAGGATATTTTGCATATGCTTGTATACATGTATTAATCATGTAAGCATATACGAGAGTGTTTATATAAACATTTATACACATATCACGAAGTGGTATATATTACATAATTAAGTAAATGTTCAGAACCCTGCCAGATGTGATGTAAAATAAGCTCTAAAGAACCACTTCTGGTCCTCTAGCAACTGATACTTTATGTCTTCTTATATGCTTGAGTTTAAATCTTCAAATGGATAGAAATAAGCCTTACATATTACATTGTAGGAAAAATTATAATAGGGTCAAAGTCATTCATGTTAAGTATCAAAATATAGATAATGTGGCTGGGCACGGTGGCTCACCTGTAATCCCAACACTTTGGGAGGCCAAGGTGGGCAGATCAGGTCAGGAGATTGAGAGCATCTTGGCCAACATGGTGAAACCCCATCTCTACTAAAAATACAAAAATTCGCTGGGCATGGTGGCACGTGCCTGTAATTCCAGCTACTCTGGAGGCTGAGGTGGCAGTAAGCCAAGGTCGCACCACTGCACTCCAGCCTGGTTGACAGAGCTAGACTGTCTCAAAAAAATAAAAAAAAAAAAGAAAAACACCCAAAATATAAATAATGTGCTAAAGTGTTATACTTCTCTTTTTGAATCAGGTCCTAAAGATCAGATTTTAGAATTTTTTTGCAAACCTTTTAAAGAACAGCATTGCTATTGAACTTAGAAACAACTGTTTCAGATGAGTTAAGAGCTTTGGCTAGGGACTTCCAGTTTTGAACCTAAAGTTTGTACATATGGAAAAGTTAAATAAATACATATTTTGCTAGAATGTGATATAGCTGAAACTTTTTGAAGTCACAAAATTTTAAAGAAATAGCCAAAGTATAAATGGTTTGTTTGTATTTTGTTCTGACATATTTTCTTTTGTTCTGTTTTCTGAAAACAGAAAAAAAAGGCAGAGGAAGGTGGCAGCTATTTTGATTGTTTATGTGAAGTTCCCCTGCTACATTGAAAACAAATCAGGCAGTTTTTAAGGTAGCCCTTGCCTATTGCTTTTCAGGGGGTTAGAGAATATGGTAGTGTGAAGATCAGATTTCTGACCTTTGGTTTCACATTTCTACTTACTGCTCCTGCATGACATAGATGTGTGAAGAAGGCACAAAACTGAAGGCCAATCCATTTGGCAAGGATATGGGAGGGGAGGTGGAGGAATCTTTCAATTGCCAGTATTAATAGAGTCTTATCTTAAGGCTACAGACCTGATAGTGAAGAAATAGTCACCAGGGAGCCCTAAAGACATGTAGAAAATACCCTTTTTCTATTTACTTTTGAAATTGGAGAAAAATAACACTTTCTCAGGGGTTGGTGATTTATATTGAAGCTAATGATTTCTTGGAGGTTTTGCCCAACAAGTCTGCTTCCTTGCAGTAAGGGCATCATTGCAAAGACTCTATGCTTCAGTGATGACATTGACCTAATTCTTTTCCCACCTCCCACTTACCTTCTATTTATGTACTTGCAAATAGATTGTGCCCATCTCTGTAATGGTACCTTTCTTGTTATTTTGTAATCATTGTTACAACATTCATCTATCTCCCTTACCAACTTTTTTTATAAAGAGGCATCCTGTTGCATTGGTTTTTATAAACTCAGAGCCTAACATAGGTCTTAGCTTAAGAAATATTTTTTTCATTAATTTTATTTAACAAACATTTATGTAGTCGATACTATATGTTAATACATATCAAATCATTTAATCCTAACTCAGTGAAATAAGGTAGGTTATTATCTCTGTTTTCTGCCTCTCCCAGAGGCAGAATGAATCAATCAGCCAGGTCATACAGATAACAGGTTCGCAAACCCAAGATATGAACCAAGCCAATCTGGTGCTATAGTTTGTTGAAGAAGGAAAGACAAGAAAAATTTGAGATAACTAAAGTTGTTAAAAATTGGCTTTAGATATTCTTGTTTCTATAACTAACTCTCCTTGCCTCTTAATGTGACATACAGATTTTTAAACTCTAGAGCACAAATATGCTAGAGATGGTGTGAAACTATTTTCTTTCCTTGCAAGAATCCACAATGTCAGATAAAACATAAAATTTTATTCTCAAATTTTATAAAATTTCACCTTCAGATTTTATGATGGTGATGGCAGCAGATCGTTTTTCATGTGGCATTTATTTGACTTTGAGAGACTTGTTCTGTTTCTTTGTATTAGTTGCTCTCTGGTGTAAATTGCATATGATGTGTTTTGCTTATAGTTTATTAAATTCACAGTTCTCCAGAAGAATGCCCTAGCTCATTATTTTTGTTTTTGACTTCTGCCATTTCCTTGAAAATCTCTTTATTATCAAGGTGATTTTTTCCCTTGTTTTCTTCCCATCCTCTTTCTCACTTTTTCTTAAAGATGAATGCATTCTACATTCCTTTTATAATTTATTCAGCATTATAAGTTCTTCATAGTGGGTTCTAGAGAGGTCCTTCACTTGTTCTGTTTAGGTTGTAGTATTTATTTGATGTGTGTGTATTACCCCATTATCTTATCTTAATAAATAGTACTTAACTATAGTACAATCCTAGTCTTGAACATGGGAGGGTCTAATAACCATAGTTTTGGGTAATGTACATTTTAGAATATAGCCTTTTCTTATTATAGGAGAGTATGTTTTTTTTTGTTTTGTTTTTGTTTGTTTGTTTTTTATTAATCTAAACTTAGTGTCACCTCACCCATGATGCTCATAACTTCCATTTTGGTCTTGTTTGATACCATATACAATTTTACAAAAGTTGTCATATTTCCTCAGTACTCTTTATATTAAGAGAAAGCCTAAGCAGCATTTTGAATATCTTCTCCTACTCCAGTTTGAAAATGTTGGTAGGTAAGCCTATTTCACTATTTTTATTAACTCTGTAGCTTTAGAATTTTCTTGAGATTTCTTTTTTTTTTTTCTTTAAAATGGGTAAAATTATTACATTTTAGCCATAGGCAATGGATATTGAATTTCAGCTCCTCTGATCTGGTAAAAGGCTTGTTAGAGAAACTTCTTTATATGCCCTGTGATTACTTGTTCATATTTCATGATAGGTCTGGGTCATGGACTGGCCAAGAATCTGAAATGTACTATACTGAAGATGAATCATTGCTAAGTACAAGCTTAATGTCTGTTGGTGGTTGTTTTCACTATTGTCTCTACAGTGTTATTAAACAGCAATCAGGAATTCGAGATCAGCCTGGTCAACACAGTGAAACCCCATTTCTACTAAAAATACAAAAAATACAAAAAAAAAGTCAGCCAGGTATGAAGGCATGTGCTACCATGGCAAAATGATTTCACTTTTGTGACTATGTTTTTAAAAAGATTATGTGGATAGGCCCAATCAATTAAGAATAGCAGAGTTTTCTTTAGCTGAGAGCAAAAGATGAAATCAGAGAGATTTGAAACATGAGAAGGATTCAGCTCACCATTTCTAGCTTTAAATATGAAAGGGGCTTGAAGATAAGGATAGTCCATGTCCAACAGCAAGAAAATGAGGATTTAAGTCCTACAACCACAAGGAGCTGTATTCTGTCACAACAACCTGAATGAGCTTGGAATCAGTTTCCTCCTCAGATATTCCAAATTAGATCGCAGCTCAGCTGACAACCCAAATTCAGTCTTGTGAGAAACTAAACATAGAACCTAGTTGAGTTGGCCTGTACTTTTGACCTATATAACTGTGAGCTAATGAATTTGGGTTACTTTAAGCTGTTACATTTATGGTAACTTGTTTTGCAAAAATAGAAAAAAAATACATACAGAGGGCTCCAAGATGGCCAACTAGACCCAGCCAGTAGGAACATTTCCTACCAAGGGACTGGGACATCAGGAAAACTGATACACTCCTAGCAGATCTTCAGAAGAAAGGTGTTGAGAGTGTGCTGAAGGAAGGAAGAAACAGATGCTGGGCTGAAAGGGGAGGAAGCTGGGAACCCTGCATAGGGCTGCTGCACACTGGGGCTTGTTCCTGGCCCTCCATGACTCCTGTGGAGTGGGTAAGTTGAACAGACATGGAGCAACTCACTGTCATCATAGGCCTTTGGAATCCCAGAAATAAGACAGTCACACAACAATAAAGAAAAAATGAAAAGTAATGAACAAAATCTTCAAGAAATATAGGATTATGTAAAGAGACAAAATCTTTGACCCATTGGCATCTTTGAAAGAGATGGGGAGAAACAACTTGGAAAACATATTTCAGGATATCATCCATGAGAACTTTCCCAACCTAGCTAGAGAGGCCAAGATTCAAATTCAGGAAATGCAGAGAACTGCTGCAAAATACTTCACAAGAATATCATCCTTAAGACATGTAATCATCAGATTCTCTAAGGTCAAAATGAAAGAAAAAATATTAAAGGCAGCCAGAGAGATAGGAGAGGACACCCAGAAAGGGAGGCCCATCAGAATAACAGTGGAACTCTCAGCAGAAACTCTGTAAGCCAGAAGAGATGGGAGGCCTATATTCAACATTCTTAAAAGAAAAGAAATTTCAGCCAAGAATTTTATATCTCACCAAACTAAGCTTAATAAGTGAAGGAGAAGATCATTTTCAGAATTCCT